TGTATAAGAGATGAGTGTTGTATGAGTGTTATATGAGTGTTGTATGAGTGAGTGATGAGTGAATGTTATGTGAGTGTTAAGTGAGTGATGAGTGAGTGTTATATGAGTGTTAAGTGAGTGATGAATGAGTGTTGTATGAGTGTTGTATGAGTGAGTGTTGTATAAGAGATGAGTGATGAGTGAGTGATGTATAAGAAATGAGTGATGAGTGAGTGTTGTATAAGAGATGAGTGATGAGTGAGTGATGTATAAGAGATGAGTGTTGTATGAGTGAGTGTTGTATAAGAGATACGTGTTATATGAGTGTTGTATGAGTGTTATATGAGTGTTGTATGAGTGTTATATGAGTGTTGTATGAGTGTTATATGAGTGTTGTATAAGTGTTATATGAGTGTTGTATGAGTGTTATATGAGTGTTGTATGAGTGTTATATGAGTGTTGTATAAGAGATGAGTGTTATATGAGTGTTGAGTGAGTGATGAGTGAGTGTTTTGTGAGTGTTAAGTGAGTGATGAGTGAGTGATGTATGAGTGTTATATGAGTGATGAGTGAGTGATGTATGAGTGTTATATGAGTGTTAAGTGAGTGAGAGTGAGTGTTGTGTAGTGAGTGATGAGTGAGTGTTGTGTAGTGAGTGATGAGTGAGTGTTGTGTAAGTGAGTGATGAGTGAGTGTTGTGTAAGTGGTGATGAGTGAGTGTTGTGTAAGTGAGGGATGAGGAGTGTTGGTGTAAGTGAGTGATGGAGTGAGTGTTGTGTAAGGAGTGATGAGTGATTGTTTGGTTAAAGTAGTGTGAGTGATGTTGTGTAAGAGATTCCCGTTGCGGCGATCAGCGCGGCGCTGCCGCACGTGACGCTCCTCGCTCGGAAGCGGTGGGCGGGGTGACGAGGGGGAGGGGCGGGGTGACGAGGGGGAGGGGGTGGGGTGACGAGGGGGAGGGGTGACGAGGGGGGAGGGGGCGGGTGACGAGGGGGGAGGGGGCGGGTGACGAGGGGAGGGGGCGGGGGAGGATGAGGGAGGAGGGGGCGGGGGAGGGGGGGCGGGGCGGGGAGGGGGGAGGGGGAGGAGGTGCTTCAGGAGGGCGCGGTATGGAGGGGGGTGGTGGAGACGAGCACGAGATTGCGTGGGGGAGAGATGAGGGGATTGTAGAGAAGCAAGGTGCGTGAGAGGGGGGGAGGGTGGATGGGATCGTGTGGATTGGGGGGCGGAGGATAGAGTGGGGATCGTTGAGAAGAGACGATCAGGAGGAGGAGGGGACGCAATGGGGAGAGGAGTAGACGCGGCCCCGCTGCTGACGGACAGGGGGTCGCCCTGGACGCGCCACGCGTGCCCGGGCCCTGCGGTGTTTGTGAACGACAACGTGCACCCAGCCGGGCACACACAGGACACACACAGACCACACACAGACACACACAGACACAGCACACACAGACACCACACAGACACACGACACACACACATACACACAGACACACACACAGACACACACCACACACAGACACGCACAGACACACAGACACACACACAGACACACACAGACAGACACACAGACACACACCAGACACACACGACACACCAGACACACACACAGACAGACACACACACAGACACACACAGACACACAGACACACCACAGACACACACACACAGACACACACACAGACACACACAGACAGACACACACAGATACACACACAGACACACACACATACACACACAGACACACACACAGACACACACACAGATACACACCAATACACACACATACACTCTACTGGGCACGTTCCTCTTGAGTGGGGGTCTCACGGGTAGGCCCCCGTGTGAGCTCCCGTCCCCGGATCGTTGGCTCAGCGCCGGGCCCCACGACCCCGCACCGCCCCCACCGCCCCCACCGCCCCCACCGCTCTCGCGGGGTCGTCTCCCATCCAGAGCGCGAGACGCGGCGCCCGGGGGTCGAGTCGGAGTTTAAAACCAACGCGAGCATCTCGTGTCTGTGGTGTCTGTGGTGTGTGTTGTGTGTCTGTGTGTGTCCTGGTGTGTGTGTCTGTGTGTGTGTCTGTGTGTGTGTCTGTCTGTGTGTGTGTCTGTCTGTGTGTCTGTTTGTCTGTGTGTGTGTGTCTGTGTCTGTATGTGTGTGTCTGTGTGTGTGTCTTGTGTGTGTGTATATCTGTATGTGTGTGTCTGTGTGTGTGTGTCTGTGTGTGTCTGTGTTTGGGGGTGTCCATATGCATTGGTGCTGCTTGCCAACAGCACTTGCTCCTGCAGTCTGTTAAGGCTATACGGGGGATCTTTGTCTCTGTTTGTCTATGTACACGGTGGCCCAAAAGTCAGGATACACAGGATTATTTCATTGTTGTGAACACACTTTCCTACCGACTTCCAGTCACATCGACGCGCCCGTGGATTACCTTTAAAAATGAATTCGTGACTTTAAAAAAGTGACAGCTGCCTTCACGAGCGTACACAGAAAGACATTGAACTCGTTTGTTTTTAGTCAACTTTCTTTTTATTTGAAATATCGGTTGAAAGTATGAAGCACAATCGATATTAATAACGATAATAGATACGAATTTTACTTAAAGAATAAACATTTAAATCGTTTAATGCCTGTGCAAATATAAATTAAATAACACTGTGTGTTCTGACTTGTTGACCACGCTGTATATATAACATCACGAGGTTCTGCGGTGTAGGGGTGAGCGCGCTGCACTACGAACGCAGCTACTCGAGTTTAATTTCCGCTAACAAACCAATACCGGTGACTATTATCTGAAGCCGGTCCTGTACCTCCCCTAGGTCGACTCAGCCTCACATGAGTACCTGGTGCGGTGTGTAAACATCGCCACTGGAGAGACAAGGCAGTCGGGCGTAGTGCCTGCCACACACCCCCACGTGTGCCGTGCCGGCCTTCATAGGTGCACACAGACAGCAATTGCCCCAAAACTCTGTTCAGAAAGCTCAAAATTAAGATTATACGGGGGACCTTTGTCTGCGCTCGTTTGCGTGTTTGCGCTTTGAGGTGTTGGGGGTCCGTACGTGTGCGTGAGTGTTGCCCGCGTGTGTCTCCGTGGGCCTATGCTCGAGTGTGCAATGTCTCTGTATTTGTTTGTCTGTGTCTGTGTGCCTCTGTGTGGCGCGTGTATTAATGTCTCGATGTGTCCGTCTAGCGGTTAGCGCGCTGCGCTGAGAACCTGGCGACCCGGGTTCTATTCCTGCTTACGGACGATTATCTAAACCGGTCCTGGGATCTCCCCTAGGTCAACTCAGCCTCAAATGGAGTACGATGTGTAAACATCGCCACTAGGGAGACAAAGGCGGCCGGGCGTGATGTTGGCCACCCACCCCCTCGTGTGCCTTGCCGACCTTCATAGGTGCTCGCTAACAGCACTTGCCCCTACAGTCTGTTAAGGCTATACGGGGGATCTTTGATCTTTGTCTAGCAGTAACCGCGCCGCGCAACGAACCCGGCGACCCGAGTTCGATTCGCGCTCAGGGCCAACACCAGTGACGAGTATCTGCACCGGTCCGGGGCCTCCCCTAGGTCAACTCTGTTAAACTATCCGGGGGATCTTTACCTTGTTTATCTGTGTGTGTCGGTGTGCGCGTGTGTCCGCGTCTGTGTGTGTGCGTCTGTGTGTGTGCGTCTGTGTGTGTGCGCGTCTGCGTGTGTGCGCGTGTGTCCGCGTCTGTGTGTGCGCGTCTGTGTGTGTGCGTCTGTGTGTGTGCGCGTCTGTGTGTGTGCGCGTGTTTCCGCGTCTGTGTCAGCGTCTGTGTGTGTGCGTCTGTGTGTGTGCGTCTGTGTGTGTGTGCGTCTGTGTGTGTGCGCGTCTGTGTGTGTGTGCGTCTGAGTGTGTGCGTCTGTGTGTGTATGCGTCTGTGTGTGTGTGCGTCTGTGTGTGTGTGCGCGTGCGTCTGTGTGTGTGCGCGTGTGTCCGCGTCTGTGTGTGTATCTGTGTGTGCGCGTGTTTGTGTACGTGTGTGTGTGCGTGTGTGTGCGTGTCTGTGTGTGTGCGTGTGTTTGTGTACGTATGTGTGCGTGTGTGTCCGCGTCTGTGTGTGTATCTGTTTGTGTGTGCGCGTGTCTGTGTACGTGTGTGTGTGTCCGCGTCTGTGTGTATTTGTTTGTGTGCGCGCGTGTCTGTGTAGGTGTGTGTGTGCGTGTGTCCGCGTCTCTGTGTGTATCTGTTTGTGTGCGCGCGTGTCTGTGTAGGTGTGTGTGTGCGTGTGTATGTGTGTGTGTATCTGTGTGTGTGTGTGTGTGGGTGTGTGTGTGCGCTATTTAAAGACTGGGCGCTGCTGTTTTGACGGAGCGCGGCGCCGCCGCTCGTGACGCGGGCCGCGCTCCCCGCCCTGGTGGAGCTCCCCCGCTCCGGGGTGGCATCTGGTGAAGCGCATTCCGGACACCGAACACCACCACGCGAGCACTCTTCCCCACCCCTCCATCCATCCCTCCCTCTCTCTCTCTCACTGTGTGTCTCTCTCTCTCTCACCTGTCTCTCTCTCTCTGTCTCTCTCACTGTCTCCCTGTCTCTCTCTCCTCCCTGTCTCTCTCTGTCTCTCTCTCACTGTCTCCCTGTCTCTCTTTCTCTCTCTCTCCTGCTCTCTCTCCCTGTCTCCCTGCCTCTCTCTCACTATCTCCCTGTCTCCCTCTCGTACCACGAAAATAAAACCACGCTTTGGGGGGAGGGGGTGGGGCGCCACCGCCGCCGCTCCAAGCGGGAGACGCGCGCGAGGTTCGCTTGTGAACGCGCGTCCCGGGCACGCGGAGTGTGAGGCTGACTGCGGATGCCCCCCCCACCTCTCCGTCCCCCACCCTCCCCCATCCTCCGCGGCCCCTCCCCTCGCCATGTGGATACTAATGATCCGAAGTCTCGCTTTCGATTGGCTACAGCTGAGCGCGAATCCCCGGCCGGCGAGAGACGCAGCAGACGATAAATAGCGCAGCGCGCACGCGTTTGATGCTCATCTCTGGCGGCCGAGAGCGCGCGCGACCCCCTCACACCCCGCCCCCCCTCCCCCTTCCCCGCCCGCGGCACGCGAACCGCGCCGGGCCACGCCGATGGCGCTGGGCGAGACGGCTCAGGCCACGGCGGCCTCAGCCGCAGGGGAGGTCCCCTCGTAGCCCGCCGCTGTCAGTACGCGCGGCGAGGCGCGGGCGAGGAGGCGGGCAGAGTGAGCCGGGGACCCCCCCCACCCCCCACCACGCACACCCCGAGGACGCACCTCGTGGCGCCGGCAGGGAGCGACCGGCGGGACAGGACCCGCACTGCAGGGAGCCCGAGGGAGTTCCCCCCTCCCCCTCTCCGCCGATACTCGTGGGCTCGAGTGCGCGGTCAGTGCAAGGCACGCGTCTTCTTTTTGCGAGCGACACTTTGCGCCGCGTTCGTTTATTCTCGCCCGGAGTGAGCATGGCCGCGGCGCTGACTCTCAACAGTAGCGATTTGCCCAACAACCCGATGGTGATGGAGTATGTGAATGACTTTGACCTTATGAAACTAGAAGTGAAGAAGGAGCCGCTGGAGCTGAGCCTGAGCCGCGCGTGCGGCCGCCTCGAGGGCTCCCTGTCGTCGTCTCCCATGAGCACCCCCTGCAGTTCCGTGCCGCCCTCCCCCACCTTCAGCGCGCACAGCCCCGGGGCGCCGCGCCCCAGCCTCGAGGACTTGTACTGGATGTCCCACTACCAACAGCCGCAGCCGCAGCAGCAGCAGCCGCAGCATCCACAGCAGCAGCAGCACGCGCACCAACCCCAGCAGCAGCAGCAGCAACAGCAGCAGCAGCACCTAAACCCAGAGGCACTGAACCTGACTCCGGAGGACGCGGTCGAGGCCCTCATCGGCTGCGCCCACGCCGCGCAGGGCTTCGATTGCTACCGCGCGCCCGTGCCGCAGTTCGCGGGGCTGGGCACCAGCGGCCGGGAGGAGCTGCAGGGAGAGACCTCGAGCCACGAGGGTGGACAGCCGGCGGTCGCGAGCCACCACAACCACCACGGCCACAACCACCACCACCACCACAACCACCACGGCCACCACGACCACGGCGGGACGTCGGGCCAGCAGCAGCACGGGGCACGCGTGGACGAGCGCTTCTCCGAGGACCAGCTGGTGTCCATGTCGGTGCGGGACCTCAACCGGCAGCTGCGCGGCTTCAGCAAGGAGGAGGTGATCCGCCTCAAGCAGAAGCGGCGCACGCTCAAGAACCGCGGCTACGCGCAGTCGTGCCGCTACAAGCGCGTGCAGCAGAGGCACCTGCTGGAGCACGAGAAGACAGAGCTGCTGCGCCAGGTGGAGTCCCTGAAGCAGGAGCTGGCGCGGCTCGCGCGCGAGCGCGACGCCTACAAAGACAAGTACGAGCGACTCGTCGTGGGAGGCGGCGCGGGTGGAGGAGGTGGTGGTGGTGGAGGAAGTGGAGGAGGTGGTTATTTCAGGGACGCTGGCTCCCACAGCAGCGGCAGCCCTTCCTCGCCCGAGTTTTTCCTGTGAGTCTCCGCCGCGCGCCGGCCCCATCCTCCCGTCGCCTCTCCCCCTCTGCTGCGACTCGCGGCGCTCGCGCGATCGCCTCCGCGTGCCTCTCGCTCCGGGCCGTGCGGAGGGGTCTGAAGGCCGGGACGACTGGGACCTCTATGGCCAGTTGTCAACATCATCATCATCCGCAGCAGCAGCAAGCGCATCATCATCAACAACAACCACATCACCACCATCAGCGGCAGCATCATAATCACGATGATCATGATCATCATCATCCGCATCGCCACAATCAACTGCGTTGCCACCGCCGCCGCCGCCGTCTGGGCGCTACGCTGCCATCCCCTGTCTCGTCGCGCGTCTGGACAAGCGGCGCGTGGTGGGGGGCGCGGGGCCGCGATCCAGAACCAAAGTGCGAGAGGAGGCTCCGTGACCCGTGACCCATGACCCGTGACCCGTGCTCTGTGACCCGTGACCCCTGCTAAGTGACCCGTGACCCGTGCTCGATGGGAAAACATCGCCCCTTCGCTCACGCGTCACGGCTTCACCTGGCGCGCGGGACTGACGGTGGCAACGATGGTGACGATGAGGATGGTGGCGATGAGGATGGTGGCGACGAAACCGCGCGTATTACGCACACGGGGACCCCACGCGGAGGGCGCACATTGAGTAGTACAGCGTGACACCCTGACACACACCGTGACACACACAGTGACACACACCGTGACACACACAGTGACACACACAGTGACACACACAGTGACACACCCTGACACACACAGTGACACACACCGTGACACACACAGTGACACACACAGTGACACACACACAGTGACACACCGTGACACACACAGTGACACACACCGTGACACACACAGTGACACACAACGTGACACACAGTGACACACGCAGTGACACACACAGTGACACACACAGTGACACACACACAGTGGCACACCGTGACACACACACAGTGACACACCGTGACACACACACAGTGACACAGTGACACACACACAGTGACACACACGCAGTGACACACACAGTGACACACACAGAGACATACACATATACACTCACAGAGACACTCACAGTGACACACACACAATGACACACACAGTGACACACACACAGTGACACACACAGTGACATACCGTGACACATCGTGACACACCGTGACACACCCAGTGACACACACACAGTGACACACAGTGAGACACACAATGACACACACAGTGACGCACACAAAGACACACACACAGTGACACACACACACAGTGACATACACACACAGTGACACACACAGTGTGACTCACACAGAGACACACCGTGACACACAACGTGACACACACAGTGACTCACACAGTGACACACACAGTGACACACACAGTGTGACTCACACAGAGACACACCGTGACACACAACGTGACACACACAGTGACACACCCAGTGACCCACATAGTGACTCACACAGTGACACACACAGTGACACACGTGACTCTCACACAGCACCACATGGTCACGAGTGAGGCGGAGAGAGCCACGGCAGAGCGGCTTCCGGGGAGCGGTGGTGCAGCGATTAGCGCACTGCGCTACAAACCTGGCGACCCGGGTTCGATTCCCGCTCACGGCCAACACCAGTGGCGATTATCTGAACCGGTCCTGGGCCTCCCCTAGGTCGACTCAGCCTCAAATGAGTACCTGGTGCGGTGTGTAAACATCGCCGCTAGGGAGACAAAGGCGGCCGGGTGTGGTGTTGGCCATAAGTGCTCGCTAGTAGCACTTGCCCCAGTCTGTTAAGGCTATACGGGGGATCTTTGTCGTTGTGTGTCTGTGGGTATGTGTGTGTGGGTGTGTGTGGGGGTGTGTGGGTGTGTGTGTGGGTGTGTGTGGGTGGGTGTGGGTGGGTTTGTGTTGGTGTGTGTGTGGGTGTTTGTGTGGGTGTGTGTGGGTGTGTGTGGGTGTGTGTGTTTGTGTGGGTGTGTGTGGGTGTGTGTGTGTGTGGGGGGGTGTGTGGGTGGGTGTGGGTGTGTGGGTGGGTGTGTGTGGGGTGTGTGTGGGGGGGGGTGTGGGTGGGTGTGTGTGTGTGTGTGTGGGTGGGTGTGTGTGGGTGTGTGGAGCGGAGATCGGCTGAATCGTAAGTCGCCGCTCCTCTGTTGCTGCTTTTCCACGGGCCATTAAGGGGCGAGTTACGACGCCTTTCACATTTACTGCTGTTTAGCGAGACCCATCGACTGCGTCGCCTTCCCATCGACTCGCATCGACGATTCGACGGCGCCAAAGCGGTCGCTCAAAAGAGCCGTGATAAAGAAAGAAGCGCGTCTCCGTGTGGAGGCCACACGGAGACGCGAGTCGCCCCACGTGCTCGCGGCGTGCGGCGCTGGTGACACCCTCCTGGCTGTCGCCACCGCTCAATAGGGGGGGGGGGGCGGCTGTCAATCACGGGAGAACTCGTGTCGGACGCCGTGCGCGGTCGCTCAGCCACACGGCGAGGTGACCACTGGGCGGATGGCCAGAGGTTGTCCGCCCTGAGTGGTTGAGATCCCCCCGTGCTGGACTCCGCCGTGATGTTTGGGGGACCCTGCGGGCACCGTCCAGGGTTGAGCTGCCACGGAAAAACTCGAGGCGAGGTGTGACGCCGCTGCCTCTTTGCCTGCAGACAACAACATCATCATCATCATGAATCATCATCAACACCATCATCATCAGTGATCGTTACGGTGATCATCACCAGTGCACGGCGCGCGCCGTCACCGCGTGCTCGGCTCCCTGCGTGAGCACACGGCTCTTCCTCTGTGGCTCTTCCTCTGTGGCTCTTCCTCTGCGGCTCTTCCTCCGCGGCTCTTCCTCTGCGGCTCTTCCTCTGCGGCTCTTCCTCTGCGGCTCTTCCTCTGCGGCTCTTCCTCTGCGGCTCTTCCTCTGCGGCTCTTCCTCTGCGCTCTTCCCTTCCTCTGCGGCTCTTCCTCTGCCGCTCTTCCTCTACGGCTCTTCCTCTGCGGCTCTTCCTCTGCGGCTCTTCCTCTGCGGCTCTTCCTCTACGGCTCTTCCTCTGTGGCTCTTCCTCTGTGGCTCTTCCTCTGCGGCTCTTCCTCTGCGGCTCTTCCTCTGCGGCTCTTCCTCTGTGGCTCTTCCTCTGTGGCTCTTCCTCTGCGGCTCTTCCTCTGCGGCTCTTCCTCTGCGGCTCTTCCTCTGCGGCTCTTCCTCTGTGGCTCTTCCTCTGTGGCTCTTCCTCTGCGGCTCTTCCTCTGCGGCTCTTCCTCTGCGGCTCTTCCTCTGTGGCTCTTCCTCTGCGGCTCTTCCTCTGCGGCTCTTCCTCTGCGGCTCTTCCTCTGCGGCTCTTCCTCTGCGGCTCTTCCTCTGCGGCTCTTCCTCTGCGGCTCTTCCTCTGCGGCTCTTCCTTTGTGGCTCTTCCTCTGTGGCTCTTCCTCTGCGGCTCTTCCTCTGCGGCTCTTCCTCTGCGGCTCTTCCTCTGCGGCTCTTCCTCTGCGGCTCTTCCTCTGCGGCTCTTCCTCTGTGGCTCTTCCTCTGCGGCTCTTCCTCTGCGGCTCTTCCTCTGCGGCTCTTCCTCTGTGGCTCTTCCTCTGTGGCTCTTCCTCTGCGGCTCTTCCTCTGTGGCTCTTCCTCTGCGGCTCTTCCTCTGCGGCTCTTCCTCTGCGGCTCTTCCTCTGTGGCTCTTCCTCTGTGGCTTTTCCTCTGTGGCTTCCTCTGCGGCTCTTCCTCTGCGGCTCTTCCTCTGGCTCTTCCTCTGTGGCTCTTCCTCTGCCGCTCTTCCTCTGCGGCTCTTCCTCTGCGGCTCTTCCTCTGTGGCTTCCCTGTGGCTCTTCCTCTGTGGCTCTTCCTCTGCGGCTCTTCCTCTGTGGCTCTTCCTCTGTGGCTCTTCCTCTGTGGCTCTTCCTCTGCGGCTCTTCCTCTGCGGCTCTTCCTCTGTGGCTCTTCCTCTGTGGCTCTTCCTCTGCGGCTCTTCCTCTGCGGCTCTTCCTCTGCGGCTCTTCCTCTGTGGCTCTTCCTCTGTGGCTCTTCCTCTGTGGCTCTTCCTCTGCGGCTCTTCCTCAGTGGTCTCTCTCTCTGGGAGTGCGGGGCGCGGCTCGGGGAGCCGAGAGGAACGAGCCTCCTCCTGGCAGAGGCGAGCTCCTCTCTCCTCAGTAAGGGCGCTCATCAGCTTCGTGTCACCGTGGTCGCTGCCGCCGCGATTTCTGCTGCTGTAACGCGTTTGAGACACGGAGGGGGGGCAGGAGGAACCGGGGGCTCCAGGGGGCAGTGATGCGGGGTCTCTTCCAGCCCCAACCTCTTTTCTCGGGGTGGGTGGGGGGGGTCCCTGACCGCGGCACGGGCTCGAACTCTGACCCCGCGTCCGTAGGGTTCGGCCCGCCACGCGTGAACGTGGCGGGCCTGGACTCTTCTTTCTCTCCCCACGTCTGTTTCCCGTTGTATTTATTTTGGGGGGTTGGGGGGGGGGGCTCTGCAGAGACGAAGCACCATCGTGAACAACAGACGGCACCGCGGGGACATCCCGTGTCAGAAGTTGTTGTCGTGCTAACTTCTCCCCTTGCACGCACGCGGGAACCCCGCTATGGGGGCAGGATGGACGCCCACACCCCACCCCATCTTTCATCCCCTTTAACGCCAATTAGCACGGGCCGCGAACACCGAGAGCCGTGATTTGAGTTTCAGTTCCGCTTTTAAAAACGACACCGCCCCCTCCGCGCCCTACAGCCTCCAACAAAACGGGGGGGGGGGGGGGTGGTAACTGGACACCGGCCGCCGTCCAAGGTTAAACGCGCGCGGCCCGGCCCGGGGCCCCGCCTGAAGGGGCCGCGTGCACGCCGAGCGCCTCATTGGCGAAGCGGCGTAGCAGGTAAATACACAGATACACAACACAGACACATAAATACACAGATACACAAACACACAGACACATAAATACACAGATACACAAACACACATACAACATACACAAACACACAAATACACAGATACACAAACACACATACACATAAATAAACAAACACACAAACACATAAATACACAGATACACAGACACAAATACACAAATACACAAAGAGACACATACACAAACGCACAAACACATAAATACCCAACTACGTAGACCCATTAATACACACATACACAAATGCATACACAGTAATACACAATCACACACATACACAAATACACACATACACAAATACACACATACACAAATACACAAATACATAATAAATACATGAACAAGTTTCGGAGTGCGTCGAGGTCCGTGGAGGTCCCTTCACCCCCCCCCCCCACCCCCTGCACAGCGGCTGCCACACGGCGGGACCAACCAGCACCACCACCACGCAGTCGACCCCTGCTCCGCGTCTCCTCCGGCCCTCTGTGTCTCGTGTCTCTGTGTCTCGTGTCTATGTGTCTCGTGTCTCTGTGCCCCGTGTCTCTGTGTCTCTGTGTCTCTGTGTCTCGTGTCTCTGTGTCTCTGTGTCCCGTGTCTCTGTGTCTCTGTGTCTCGTGTCTCTGTGTCTCGTGTCTCTGTGTCTCTGTGTCTCTGTGTCTCTGTGTCTCTGTGTCTCTGTGTCCCGTGTCTCTGTGTCTCTGTGTCTCGTGTCTATGTGTCTCTGTGTCTCTGTGTCTCGTGTCTCTGTGTCTCGTGTCTCTGTGTCTCGTGTCTCTGTGCCTCTGTG